AAAAAAAAGAGGGAAGCAACGACACGCGGTATTCCCAAGCGGTCACCCATCCAAGTACTAACCGCGCCCAATAATGCTTAGCTGCAGTGATCGGACGAGAACTGGCGTATTCATTATGGTATGGCCGTTGCCTGTAATAAATGTAGCAATCATTGTAGATAAAACATTATTTTCTATAATATAATAAATTAGAAAAATTAAAAAAAAGAGGGAGCAACGACACGCGGTATTCCCAAGCGGTCACCCATCCAAGTACTAACCGCGCCCAATAATGCTTAGCTGCAGTGATCGGACGAGAACTGGCGTATTCATTATGGTATGGCCGTTGCCTCTAATAAATGTAGCAATGATTGTAGATAAAACATTATTTTCTATAATATAATAAATTAGAAAAATTAAAAAAAAGAGGGAGCAACGACACGCGGTATTCCCAAGCGGTCACCCATCCAAGTACTAACCGCGCCCAATAATGCTTAGCTGCAGTGATCGGACGAGAACTGGCGTATTCATTATGGTATGGCCGTTGCCTCTAATAAATGTAGCAATGATTGTAGATAAAACATTATTTTCTATAATATAATAAATTAGAAAAATTAAAAAAAAAGAGGGAAGCAACGACACGCGGTATTCCCAAGCGGTCACCCATCCAAGTACTAACCGCGCCCAATAATGCTTAGCTGCAGTGATCGGACGAGAACTGGCGTATTCATTATGGTATGGCCGTTGCCTCTAATAAATGTAGCAATGATTGTAGATAAAACATTATTTTCTATAATATAATAAATTAGAAAAATTAAAAAAAAGAGGGAGCAACGACACGCGGTATTCCCAAGCGGTCACCCATCCAAGTACTAACCGCGCCCAATAATGCTTAGCTGCAGTGATCGGACGAGAACTGGCGTATTCATTATGGTATGGCCGTTGCCTCTAATAAATGTAGTAATCAATAAAAAAAAAAATTCAAATTCAAATTTAAATATCTTTTATTTATAACATATAAACATAAATGTGGGTGTTGTTTTATTCTAATGAACCCTGTTATAGGAATTTACTTCCTTTTCAGGGGGTGTAGTGTATTACAATTTTGTGGCAAAAATGTGTGTGATCAATAAAGAAAAACCAATTATTTCAATAATTTAATAAAATAGGAAAATTAAAAAAAAGAAGGGGGGCAACGACACGCGAGTCATATTACGATATCATGTTAATTTCTTTTTATCTTGTTCTCACACTTTTGTTTTTGAGATCGCTAGGATCTAATGAGGTCCTTCCCCAGGTATTATACCTGCGCAAGGATAATGCTGGACAGTGACACAGTATGTGTATGCTCTCCTCATCAGCCTCCCCACATAGACGGCATGATGATCATGTTAATTTCTTTTTATCTTGTTCTCACACTTGTAACATTAGTAATTAATCTCAGTTTAACTTCCTTTATTGTCAATTGTCTAGTTTCTATTTTTCAGGTTTAACAAACTTTTATTTTCTGGAATGTTCTTGTTCAATTTTGATTAGTTGCAAATTGTATTATTTCAGTTGTAATTAGAATTTTTAGGCAGTCTTTATTTGCCAATCGTACTTGTAACACGTTTCCGAAATAAAAATATTTTTTAATACACAAATCTCATTATAGTGATTATTTAACTCGCGGTATTCCCTCTTCAGGTTATTTTTTGGTTTTTGTCACTGTGATGTGAGTAGGTATTGTAATTTTGTTATATTTTTGTAGTTTGAGTTCGAGAGTAATTTTGAAACGGATCGAAAAAGCGAAGGAGGCAAAAATTACTTGGAAGAGGAGAAGGAAAATTTAAAACGACCCTTCACAAACAAACTAAAAATACATACAAAATACAACCAATAAATAAAAATAAAAATTCACAATCAGAAAAACACCCTCAAAGATATACAGGGTGGCCCAGCTCACACCCCACCGGGAAATGCCCTATGGAAACGACAATGAAGATGCCAAAACTGCAGCCAAAAACATGAAAAAGTTATTCCTTAAATAACGTAAATATTTTGTTATGTGTATTGGTCTATTTTAAACCTCTTTATTTACCAAAAGATTAATTTTTTTATGTTTTCGGTTGCAGTTTTGGCATCTCCATTGTCGTTTCCATAAAGCAAATCCCGGTGATGCGTGAGTTCTGGGCCACCCTGTATATTACAAATTAATATTATTTGAAGTTAGAAAACATCAAATAAAACTTAAACTGTCCAAATTTCGTTGGTTATTTTAAACGTCAATTTAATCGTTGTTGTAGGTGAACAAAACTGTATATATTGGGCAGTTTAATTTATTCATCGAATAGGGTATTATTTTTCGTTGCTAAAACCGGGCATAAGTCCTATATGCTATACAGTGTGTGTCACGATGGTGGCCTATTAGAAGTACATATCTGGAAAAGTAGTGGCAATTAAAATTTGATAATTTGTGTCCAAATATTAGTCAATGCGCTCTATTTAATGAAAATATTTTCAATCTTTCCTTACTTCTGGATATACCGGAAGTAGGCATCAACTTTTTTATTTCAAATAGAACACCCTGTATATTAATATATTTTCGAAATCTACGTATAATTTTAGGGTACTTTTGTCTGAAATACTTTTTTTCAAAAATGCATACTTTTTGTGTTAATTTAATTTTTTTTTTAATTTTACCGATGCAGACCCTTATAAATTATTTTTTACGGGGATCCCTTTAAAGATATGGTTGCGGTGTCTGTAGGGTGGCCACTAGCAAGGTCAAAGGTATTTGAACCTTTGTTGAAAAACTTTTTATTTTATACAGGATGTGTATAAAAAATGTGAAAAGTTGAACTTCAAAAATACAAAATTTCTTCATTTTTTTAAATGGTTAGCCATGAAATGAGCGGCCAAAAATAAGGGTTCATGTTTATTTCCCTATACCTAAATCTAATGGTTTTAAAGATATTACAAATTTTACTTAATACTTACTTTTCTGCCTTATTCTTAAATAATCCGTTTTTACAAGTTGGCCATGTAATATCGCAGAAGTACCAAAATTAATAATGAATTATTTACAAACAATTCACATGGCCAAATAATTAAGAGTTAATTAAGAATAAGACAGAAATGTAAAAAGTGAAATTTTTAATATCTTCAAACTTCAAACCTATTAGGTTTAGGTATAGAAAAGTAAGCATAAACCTCCCTTATTTTTTACCGCTGATTTCAATAAAATAGAAAAAATGGGTGGTTCCATTTAAAAAAATGAAAAAAATTGGTATTTTTGAAGCTTATCATTTCACATTTTTGTACACACCCTGTACAAGGCCGCCCTACAGAAACCATGTCCGTATCTTTAAGGGTATCCTCGTAAAAAATATTATTAAGGGTCTGCTTTGCTAATTTTTTTTCTCATAAAAATTAATAGGTACCACAAAAAATATGCATTTTTGAAAAAAGTTTTTTTAGACAAAAGTACCCTAAAATATTACGTTAACTTCAAAAATATATTAATATACAGGGTGTTCTATTTGAAATAACAAACTTGCTGTCTACTTCCGGTATAAGCGAAAGTAAGGAAAAGTTGAAAATATATTCATTGAATAGATCGTATCGACTAATATTTGCAGACAAATTTTCAAATTTTAATTACCACCACTTTTCCAGATACTTTTTATCCACAGATTGAAAGCGATCACAATTCGGTCCTTTTGCGCAATGACATAGTTACTCGTAAAATTCAAACGACTGTAGGAGATGCAATCAAAATCAGCAACATTTTTAAGATTCAGGGCTATTTTGTAATGAATTTAGATAATTATTTTGTCAACATATGAGATAAATATTTAACGGTATTAGTTTTTTCGATTTCTTAAATTTAAAAGTCATCATCCTTAAATGCATCATCCTTTACGTTTCTTTGATTTTTCGATGAATATAGATACGAAGTTTCGTAATTATCGTAATTATCTCCTGAAAAATGTTTTGAATATATTTTCGCAATGTTTTACAAAAAACTTATCATTGCGTTTGCAGGCGTTTATCCATATTTTTTGTAAGTTTGGATCAGTTGGAAAACGAATGAACCTGGTACCTTTAATAAAACTATTACATTGATTAATTATCCGCACACAGCACACCTCATTTTAACTCTTAACTCCAATAATATAAGTAATTAATATAACTAAATAGCTAAATACAATAAAAATAGCAATAGCAATAAGAATTATGCACATACAAACTTTTAACTCGTATGTCAAATAATTAGGTTATGTTGTTGTTTGGTTTGTATTGGCCGGTTCCATAGACCTATTAACTATGGACGCGGTTTAGAGACAAAGAGGTAGTGTTGTCGATGAATGAGAGAGATGCAGCTAGTTTGGGCATATGGCAATGAGAGATTGGACAATGCATTAGCCAATAGTAAGAAAGCAAAAGACCACGTGAGTTACGTTTTTAGAAATGCAAGGTAGCTGGGGTAGAGGAGGGTAGCTTATGGTAGAATAGGGTTGAGGATTTATTATTTTTTTACCGAGCAAAATTCATTTTTCAGCTGAGCCTAAATTCCCACGCATTTGCAAATACAGTTCTTATTTTGTATTGTTATTTGGAACATCCTACCTATTAGCCAGTACAGATTTCGCAATTTAAGACCTAGATGCTTTCTCTTGTAAAAAATAGGTTTCTTCCAGGTCATTCTTCTGTCCAAGTGGATACTAAGATAAAAATAATATTTAAATATTAAGCGTATAAATAATTTAACAGATTAATCGCCTTTTTCCACACACCCTGTATATATTTTATATATTTTTTGGTCCCGCCTACTTTTAGCCCAAACTAGCTCCATCTCTCACGGACCTCTCTCTCTATTATTGGGAACGCTGAATAACCTCAAAATAACAATTGTCCCACATCCATACTTAATAGGTCTATGGCCGGTTCTCATCTGTTCTTGTTTAATTTGTATTATGGTATGTACCCTATATACTCGGCCCTATTCCACCATTACCTTTTCGTCATATTACATTTACCTGAAGAACTCCTGGTCATCCTTGTACCATTTCACGGCGTATAATTCCTCATTGCCCATGTCAAAATGACAATCCAGCTCCATTTTGTCTCGCACATCGGCTATATTAGGTGCCGACATGCTCGTCAAACGTAAAGCTCCACTATAACTTGCTGAAATAAAGAAATAATTTTAGTAGTACCAAAGTACCAAAATTGACAATCAATTTATTCACTATTCACAAAGACAACTTGCATTAGTGCCATATAAAGAAAAAAGAATGGATTATAATTCAACTCTCAATTAATATTAGGAGTAAGTTTCCCTAAGCAATTTTAGATTATGCTTTCTCATGCATTATTGCCAATAGGCGCTCTTACAACAATTTAAATACAAATTAAAAGTTTTGCAGCCTTATTCATAGTCGTATTTAGTGGCTACTAACACACTACTAACATCCCACTAAAAAAATCGTATTCTAATGCCCGATTTCACCAACCAGTTCCTAAAGTTAGGTAATACCTAAACCGGATTTAGGAATTCCTAACTACAAATTGCGTTTCACCATGCACTAAGTAATACTGTCACGAACGCCAATGGGTCGTGAGACGGTTAGGACACTCGAGTATTGAACCTGTGAGAATCGTTGCAAATAGTGCAACGATAGGTGAAATAGTTCGAGGAATCATGTAAAACAGGATGCAACCAAACTCCACCGTCGATCGGACCACCGTGAGAACGGTGGACAAACGGGGGAGATTGGTTGGCATAAAAAGCCTAACCGCCTCGCGCCCGGGGAGATTCCTTATCCCGTACGATAAGGGACAGTACGCGTGATCTCTTGCGGGCCAAATCGAATTGTAGAAGTAGTTCCGAGCGTGTGTTATAGTTCCACCGAGTTCAAGTGTAACGGTGTTGTAAGGGCTCGAAAGAGTAAAGAGATCTCGCCGGCCCTCGTGACGTGCCCCGAAGTCTGCTAGACCTTCTAGATGAGGTAGGGTAGTTTGTAGGGCTATTTGTTGTTGCTTGGTGAGGTACAAGTACCTCACCCTTGTGTACTTAGTTTTAAGCAATATACCTATTTATTATTATCTCTCTGAGTATTATTCTCTGGGCCCCTAGTTGAACCCCATTTTCAGAGTAGAAAGAAAGCAAAGGCTTTACCGCTACGCCCCGTAGCAAAGAGGTTCCGCCGATAAAGGAATCGGCGAAGCACGAGTTGAACAACACGATAAGAGGGCAAGTCGCCCCAAAACATAGCAACTCGTGACATGGTGGAAGCTCCTAGTTCGATCTCGAGGGTAGATTCTTCCTAATTTGCCCCGCTAGTTTTGTCAGTTTTTTTTTTAATTCTATTTACTTCGCGAATTGTGGTGCTCGACGTAAAAATTTTTTTTGAGTACATTTTTGAGTTTTTATATTTATTAATTAAACGAATGCCCTGAGGGGATAAAAAACCCAGAGAAAAAACCAGAGAGACATTTACTTTCTCTTTCAGCATCTGTGTGATTTTTTTTTTCTATTTTTTTATTTTTCTGCATGCTCTTTGATTTTCTATTTTTTTTTTCTCTCTACGTACATCGATCGTTTTTTGTGGTTTTACATTTTTTTACAGCGGTTTTTATATTATTTTGGTGTGGTTGGGAAAGGTACCAATCAAAAAATTTTAATTTTTTTTTCTCTTTCAAAATTGCAATCATTTTATTACAGTATATTCGTTACAAGTATTTGTGTGCCTTATCTACATTTTTTTTTTTACCGAACAAGCGTTTTACAAAATTCACACAATAGTAACATGATGAGCGGGCATTAGCCTCTCATTTACAATTGGAGTAAATTTACATCGTCTTACAGAACGCTGAAACTACAAAAAATTTATCGAAATACAGGGTGTACAAACAAATATTTCGCCGCGAATAATCGTACGGCGTTAGATTAATGTCACGCCCAGTAACCAGGGCTGAAATAAGAAGGAGAGGTGTCGAAGTTGAAATAGTGGAGTCTTTCAACCGCCTCTCAATAGACGCCCAAGGAGGCGTCCAGGACCCCTTCGCCAACTCCTTTTTAATAAGGAGATCACCCCCTCCCCCACCCACAGGCAGTGAACCAGCCGGGGAGGAATCAGTCAGGACGTCGGGGAATACTTCCGGAGGAGAAGAAGAAGGGGCATCGTACTCGAGAATACCCCTACGAGAGAGTGTGGACGACGCACCTAGGGAAGACACACCGCAGAGACAGAGGGAGGAAATAGTCCAAAGAAGAAGGGCACCGGAAACCATCGATCGTGACACCCAGTTCATAACCTTAGACAGAAGAATGGCAGACGTCACGATCGCCGAAGCCCTCCAGGTGGACCAAAAGCCGGCAAGACCGCAATTTATATCCCCCCCGACATTCGACCCGTGCACGGGAAATGTCCGGAACTTTTTATCCTCCTACGAGAGGACGGCGATTGCCAATGGCTGGAACAACGGGCTAAAGATCCTGTATCTAGGGTCATTTTTAGAGGGTGCGGCCAACATTTGGTACACCGAGTACACAAGACAGCGCGGGAACGAACACAAAACCTGGGCTGAGGTGAGAGGGGACTTCCAACAGGAGTTCCACGAAGGCGATTCGCGGAACCAGTTGGAAATGCGTCTGCTCGAGAGGAAGCAGAGAAAGGGCGAGCCGATCAAGTCGTACTTTTACGACTTGAAAACATTATACTACGAATTCGATCCAACACTGAGTGTGGACGGATTCAAGAAATTCTTTGAAAACGGGCTGGATCCCGAACTGTATCCAACGTATAGACTGCTTCGCCCGGAAAACATGTCCATGGAGAAGCTAAAGGAAATCGTCCTAGCAATCCAGGACATAACAGCGAGCAGGGCGCTACTCGCCAACCAGCCGGGGGCGACGTTTGCGCCCAAGGAGGGGATGACCTGCGTAACAGAGGAAAGAAGAAGGGGCAACCAGGAACAAAGCAATCCTCCTGGTAATGGCCCACGAAGAAACCCCCGCAATCGTTACAATAGGGGAGGTTTCTACCCCCACCAGTTCAGCCCAGGGATGTACCCGCAACCCCCGTTCGTCCCGCCCCAGATGTACTACCCCCCGTTTGGCTACCCCCAACCCCTCCCTCCGACGAACCAACCCTCTCGGCAAAATGAGGCGAAAATGAACGCCAACGCCCTCCCTCAGGAGCTAAACCTGGGCAGACAAGCTGGCCAACAGAGGCCAAAGACAAGAACGACTGATGGACGTCCGGTATGCTTCAATTGCGGAAAACCGGGACACCTGGCGGCGGTATGCAGGTCAAAGAAGGCCGATTACCCAAAAGGCCAAGGACAACGTCAGTAACCCCCGGAGTTGTCCACACCGTCAGGGGGTCCGGAGCGGCGCCGTATACGAGAGTACTAACTGCGAGCGCCGTCATCAACGGAAACCGGACCGACATCATCATCGATACAGGATCCGCTCAAAACATCGTGAGAGAGGATTTCGCGGGGGCTATCGATACAAGAAACAAGAAACATCTAATGGCAGTAGGGGACACAAGGATCACAACTCTAGGTCAATCGAACGTGTCGATACAGATCGGAGGACTCAAGGAATCCTTGACGACATCGGTAGTTAGACATCTACCGGCGGCCTTACTAGTAGGGATGCAAACCCTTACAGAACTAGGGGCCGTGATTGACCTACGAAAGAACACAATGCTGTTGCAAAAGGATAACCGGACACATATGATAGAGTTAAACCCCACCAAAGTAAGGAGTGGAAAAAAGGGGTACAACATAGGGTTAACAGGGTCCGCAACAAGCAACATATACAAGGAATTGTACCACCAGAGTTGTGTGAAAGAAATCCAAAGTGCCCTACGACGCGGAAAAGACACGAAAGCCACCCCGGAAATCCTCCCCCAGATGACAGCCACCGCGGAAAACCCCCCCACCCCAGTATTGGAGGAGATCAACCCCTTAGAGTGCACCTGTATCGAAACACCCAGCCCAGTAAACAAGCTGTCCGCGGGGAAAGACTATACGCTCCCACCGTACAGCACCTTAACCGTGAAGGGTAAGACAACTACCCCTACGAGCAACAACCCCCTCCGGTTCACCCCGAACTTCAGGAACCTTGCGAAGAAGGGACTGCTTGTAGAATCACGGGACGCCCGAAAAAATTGTATAACACTCAAGAACACCAGACACTACCCCGTGGTGTTATACAAGAACAGCACCTTGGGTGAGTTAGCCGAAGATACCGACAGAGGAGCAACGGTGTGCGCCGTTACATCGAGGATGAAAGCGCCGCTTGAGAGGATCTCCATCAACGATTTCCAATTACCAGAGGATACTGACCCGGTATTTAAACAGAGTCTGGCGAAACTGGTCAAAAAATACCCCGACGTATTTTCCAAAACGATGGACACGATGGGAAGGACCCATCTAACGGAACACGTCATCGAAGTAGAATGCGACACGCCTATTAAAAGTAGAGCATATAGGGTGTCCCAGAAGGAAAGGGAAATCGTTGATGGACAGATAAAAGAAATGCTCGATTACGGCATCATCCGCCCTAGCCACTCACCCTGGGCGAGCCCGATAGTGCTGGTGAAGAAAAAGGATGGGAGTACCCGGTTTTGCGTCGACTACAGGAAGTTAAATGACGTAACCCGGAAGTCAAACTACCCAATACCGCAAATCGACGACATCCTAACATATCTGCACGGGGCGAGATATTTTACGACGTTGGATATGTTTAGTGGATACTGGCAGGTACCGATGGAGGAAGGATCAAAGCAATACACCGCCTTCGTCGCACAGGGTCACGGACAGTACGAGTGCAACGTCCTACCCTTCGGACTCTCCAACGCACCCGCTACATTCCAGAACCTCGCTGACCGAGTGTTTGAAGGGATGAAGTGGAAGGAAGTCCTAATCTACTTAGACGATATAATAATCTTCTCAAGAACGCTAGAGGAACACCTCGAGAAATTGGAGAAGGTGTTCCAACGACTTAGGGAGGCTAACCTAACCCTAAAACCTAGCAAGTGCACGTTCGCACGAGAAGAAATAAATATCCTGGGGTACACCGTCAGCCAGAAAGGGCTGGAAGTGGACGCCACCAAGCTAGTAGCCATTAAGGAGTTTCCAACCCCCAAAACAGTGAAGCAAATCCAGAGCTT